AGGAAGGTGGTCTATAACATCTGGAATTTCACATGCAACCTTGGTGTACTTCCCAATATTACGGAAGTATTATTGCTTTTAAAGCCATAGGAACAGAGCTTTGCCCCACTGGTCAGTCAAACAAATAGGGAAATACCGAAACAAACTGTGCTTCTGAAAGTACCATATAATAGCAAAGCTAAAAACAATCACCTGGACAAGAATAACTATGGTCCTCAAGCCTTTGAAATATGATAGACATATCATAGTGTTGAAGAAATTGGAGAAGGAAGAATATGATTGGAGCTCTGGGGGAAAAGTAGTTGGGGGTTTGGATTAAAAAAAACAGGTGACAGACAAAAGTGTCAAGCTGCCTTCTATGTCCCATTCAAATTTGTCTTTTACTGAAGGATGGGTGGGGGAGTTGGTATCTGTTTGGAGTTACACACTAAGGCTGTTTTTGCAGTATATGCAACATTATGACAATAAATGGGCAAAAGGCCTGGATTTTTGCTAATCCTTCTTCCTGTTCTCCTTTCTTCCTACCCTCAGCATGCAAAGCTTAGTAGCTGCTGATACCAGGTTGTGGCAACCCAAAACATGCCATTTTATCTCATCTAAAATACTGTGGTTTGCTTTTTCAGACAAAAAGAAAAGATAAAACAGGATTGTTACAAACTAGGATTGAAACTTGCTTATCTCCATAAGAAAGTAGAGAAAAGGCTGTGGGCTTCTGTGGCTTGTTCTTTTAATAACCAGTCACAACTTATTAATTTGTGAATGAAATCAAAGAAGGGGCTAAGAATCCCTGAGGGTCCTTCAAGGGGGACTTAAATCTTCAGGCCATCTGTAGAAAAGCAGGCCAGTGCAAAGTACTGAATGGGAAAATATGGGGGCCAAAATTCTTGACTGGACCTAAATTTTTGTGGTTCCTTCTCTCTACAAGACATTCCTCAGTACTATTCTATTGGGGTTGTTATGGCTTATTAAATGATGAGTCTTCCTTCTCCTTTTAAGGGAGAATGAAGACAGAGCAGGACTGATTTATTCTACTATAGCTTACTATCTTTGAAATGTTATTACTGCTCCTGGCCAAGAACGAAAACAACATACATTTTAATTTGTTCAGTCAAAATGGTGGTGGCAAGGGGATTGTCAAAATGACAATAAATTAACAGTACTGTTGTGACACCTGTATGGATCAGATTTATTAATATACTGTATATACTGCCAATTTTCCTGTCTCCCAGTTTCCCATTTAATCAGGTTTACGCCTTTGTCAATCAGCCTTATGGGGCTTATTTTGGTAAATATTTTCTCTGTGTTTTGTACCTGATCTTTAAGTTCCGTCAGCTGACTGGAAAGGTTAGATACCAGCTTCATAGTTGATTCAAGCTTCTCTTGCAGATTTCTAAGTTCATTTTGTTCTCCTTCTGAGTCACTACTAACAAGTGACATGGCACGCATCCGGGGGAACCAATCCAGATTTCTCTCCTGAAATGTAGACACAAGGACCATTGTCAAGAGTAGAAACAGAGGGAAATGTGTGGTAGTTATTAAGATCATCTGAATTTTAATCATAAAAGCAAAAGGATAAGTTGAAGATGAGTTTCACTAACTTCTACTGTGAAAAAAAACAAAAACAAAACTAATAGCCCTCAGATTCTAAATTATTTGCCTTGGAATATTCGCCTGTGGAAAAGTCTGACATTCAGAAGTCACAAAACAAAGTATTATTAGAAGAATTACATCTCATAATTTTGAAGCAATTTAATTCTTAGCTGTAGTGAGGAAATATTTCTATTCAGACTTTGATTGCCTGGAAACATGTGCTCCTCTCTCCATTAATTCTTTCCTGCAAATCTACCGACACTTTTTCTTCAGTTTCCAGTAAGCAATCTGTAAGTCATTTATTTAAAATAAGAACTTCTTTTAATGAAGAAAACAGTAACACTGAATGCTTAAGGACACTGAAACTTCACCACAGAGAGTTGCACTCTGGAGAACCAGTTCAGTTTTTCCTGCAAATGAAAGGATAAATCTAGGATATTGATCCTCATTCTGAGACTGCAACATACTTTCAAAGTATTCAGGTAAAATAATGAGGCACTTTCACAAGAGAGGAAGTGGGCTTGTTTACCTGGCTTTGGGGCTTCTACCACAGGTGAAAGGGGGCCATCATGTAGTCTACTTCCTGGCCACTCCATTCATCAGGGGAGAATAGCTGGAAGAACTCATGTTTATTTTAATGGCTAGGCCTTCCTACTCTTACCAAAAACAACCACCTAGAAAGGCAAATGTTATTTTATACAGTCAGGTAAATCAAGGAATTGGGTACATCTGAGAGCCCTGAATAGTTTTGTTATTTTTACATTTTACATGATGACTGTGGAGCAGTAAGATTATGGAAGGAAAATTTGCTTGACTTTGTAAATCCAGTGAGCCAAACATGGACTGAACACAGAATCCAATGTGTAACCTATTAACCTCCAGTCACAGATAGAGTTTTAACTCCATATCTACTCTTCATCCACAAATTACTGGCACGGAAATCTGTCCATAAACAATACTGCACATCACATACATACATACATACATACAGGAATATGAGTAGCAGATATCTGTTTCTTTATGCAATACAGGCTAGTACTAACAACTATTCAGTTACTGCTTAGATTCTTTATCCTCCCACGTTGGGGATATAGTCTGTAACATTAAAATTCAGAGAACAATTTGAGGAGGAGGAAGTAAGAAAGCTGAGGTGTGTAGAGATAACACCACCTCATCTGAAACTGGAACACAGGCTTTTATATATGGTCATGTTCCATGTCTTGCAACTTCATGTTAAGCCAGTAGTAAAGCCTAGTCAATAGAGGATCTTAGTTAGCTATTAGGAAAGCACTCTGGCATTCGCATTACTCTTCCTCACAACCTAATTGATTTTTATCTCTCAGAATTTGCTTTATTATTTTGAGATTATGACATACCTGGGAGCCTGGTTGCCTGTGAGCATTCAGCTTCCCACAAGAGCAAGAAAGATGCCTCTGAAAAGCTCACAGAGCGTAAGGCACTCCCTCCTGGGCCTGTTTGCTGTCTCTGGCTTCCCTTGCCCATCATTCATAGGCTGAAGGTTTTACTGTGTTATGAAAGCCCTGCTAAATCAGGACAACAACCTATTTGATCAAATGGGTGCCATATAGTATCCAACAAGATGTATTCAGGAAGTTCATAAGCATGAACAGGAGGAGGACTTCCACTGTTTCTCCTTAGTAGCCAGTACTTAAGGTATGCTGCCTCTGATTCCAGAGATACAATAATCAAGACAACTTGATCTCAAAGAATTTGCCACATCCTATTTTATCTTAATTTGTGGTTATCATCCATCTGATGGCTATGATTTCCCTCCCTTTCTATAAAGTATTTGGATCCTGAATTTCCCAAACTTTAGTTTCTATTGATGAGTTTTAAGATTGTGTGAGAGGGAGGAAACCTGTATATCACACATTATTTATATACATTTTTTCCACATCTTTTTCCTGTAAGTTCCTACCTTAGTCTGGAAGATGGAGTATGTGCTATTGCTAGAATTACAGCATTCAACATCTCTAAGCGGTATATTTTCTTTATGCAGCACTAATATGGTACTTGAACTGAAGCTAGTATTTCAGTCTCCAAGGAGTTTACAAGCTAAATGACTCCTCTTTTTAGCAGGCCCAGAGATGGGTATTATTGTGTTAGAATTTTGTTAGAATTTCTAGGGGCTTCAATTATTATATTACTTTTTTAATATATTATTGTATCAATTGTGAAACATCTATATTGTGAACTGTCTAGATTCACTAGGTAAGATGGGCAGCTACGCACATTTATAAATAATAAATAATATAATAAGATATTTGCCTATTATTTAAGAGTTTAGACTGGCACATTTATTATTCTACTTTTGCTATTGCTATTTATTTCATCACTGTATCTTAATCCAGACAGGGCAGTGACTAAAGAGGCAGATACAGTCATCTCCTTAAATAGTGCCTGAGGTGGCCAATCAACCACAATAAAAGATGTAAAGGGAAATAGAATGAATATTGCAGTTGACATCTGATCCCTTCAACTGAATCTCCTTTGCTTCTACCCTATAACATTCATCTTTTCATTTTTAATAGAACTTCCACAGATTAGTTTGATTTTCAAAGGAATGTTTAAAAAGAGCTATGCCCATAGCTAATAAAATGCTGTAATTATATCTTACTTGTGTAGGTGGGAAGAGAAAGCTGTACTTGGAAAGCAATTGCTGCTGCTAACACACACATAAATAAAAGACATTATTCTAGATAAATTATTGTGTCCCTGTGCAGGCCCTCAATGTTTATCTCAACATCCTCAGTGTTAGGATGATAACCAAACAAAGAAGTAAAACTATGAAAATGAGCTCAAGTACAAAACACTGCCCTAGGAAAGCAACAAGATTTGCCTTTTAATTCTCCAGGATCAGTTATATAGCTGTTTTAAGCAAACATAAGATGTTGTGTTAATATCAGTTATTTAAGAACAGTCCTCTTTAGGCCACAACATTTTCTTGTCTCTGTAAGAACATTTATTCATTTTGCTACCTCCTCCTGCCAACTGTATTCATTTAAAGATTTTAGGCTGAAGGACAAATAAAAAGATTACGCTTGGCAATACATTTTTGTTCAAGTTCAGTAGTCAAGGTTGATGTATGCCAATGGGGCAAGGATTCTTTTACTCATGCAGGCGAGCCTCAGGAAAAGTTGATGGGTCTTAGCAGAATTCTCTAAGGAGAAAGGGCTTATCATCAATTGTGCTAAGACCAAAATGATGATGTTTCTCAGGAAGATCAAGTTGCCAAAGTACCAGTGTCAAAAAGTTCCAGGTTTAAATACCTTGGTATAATTTTTCAAGCCTCCAGAGTATGTCAGGAATACATTGGAGCCATTTTTGCCAAACCAATAATAGTGCCAAGGCAATTTTTGGCTTTTTTTTACTCCAAAGATACAGTCCTGCTACCATTAAGCTTTCTGAAGCAAAAACAGCATCCCAAATTCTATATGGTACACAGGCATACATGTACAATGATTTAAAGCCCTTAGACCAGTGTTTCTCAACCTTGGCCGCTTGGCTGGCTGGGGAATTTTGGGAGTTGAAGTTGAAGTCCACATATCTTCAAGTGGTCAAAGTTGAGAAACACTGCCTTAGACATTGTTCGGTCTACATTCCAGTGAGTGCTGTTCCATGCGGTGCTTCAAATGCTTCAATCTGGATGGAGGCTGGTATGATTCCATCAGAGGCAAGAGTCTATGTTTGCTAAAACTCTTACTGCCTTAAATTCCTGCTTTCTAATGGCTCGTTGGCCCCATCAATTCTCCTTGATGTCTTTTCATCAAAGGGGAAAGAAAAAAAAATTAGCTAGCCTGTGGTATTTCTACATACTATCTGCTGCTCCTAGGTTGAGAGAGAGCTAAAGCTGAAATCTGTCAAATAGTCTGACATTCTATGGCAGATGGATCTGGGTGCTAAAGCCAGCTCTCAGTGATGGGCTCCAGACAGGAAACCTTTTATAACTGCAAACTACTTATTTCAGCTTGTTTTCCCAGTAGAGCCTTTTCTTTGGCTCACTTCAATGTCTCACCCTCAGCAGTACAAGATGGGAGGTGCAGTAAGACTCCATTCACTGAGAGATGCTGTCCTTGTCAAAACAAACCTGAGACCCTTTCACATGTTTTCTGTTGCCCTTTCTATGCCAGTTAAACAGAGACATATCTTTACCACCCCTTAACAAAACCCCACTCTTTTGTGAGGCAAAGGTGATCCATTTCCTAGTCGCAGATCAGAACCTACCCTCACCAATAGAGCTGCCAAGTTTCTATATACAGCAAAGGTATAAGATGGTCCTAATCTTGGAGTGATATTATGAAGTCTCCTCTTTCATTTTATTGCATTTCTATTTATCATATTTCCATTTCATCTTATGTTTTACACTGCTTTTATAACAATATTTATTTTATTCAATTTCTCTCTTATACTGATTTCAAGTCTTAATTTTTATATGACCATTAATACATTATATGACTGTCTTTGATGCATTTGGTCATTGCTTCTGGTTGTTGACCACAATGAAATAAATCTTCAAGTCAAATAATTCTTCAAGTTCAATAACACCCTTGATGCCTGATTCTGCAAGCAATATATGTTAAATTGCTATAGCTTCTTTACATATATGAGGTGAGCCACAACTTGAAGGCCTTATTTCTGGTTTGTCTCCTTGCTTCCACAGACACATCTCCTTCTTACTGATGTCCCACATACCATTATTGTTATGTACTGCCTACTATGACCCTCCAACAACCCTGATTGGGTTGTCAGCTCCCTCTTCCCAGCAAAGCATTAGCTTCCTCTATTGAAACAGATCAACTGAATTAAGCCACTGACGGAAGCTGGTTAACCACAAGTGTTGTTTCGGGCTAGCTCTTTTCTAG